TGAAAGTCAGCATGCCCCTTGGAGGAAAGGATGCCAGACTTCCTCTCTCATTCTAAGATATATTACCAGGAGGGACCAGTCCTTGGAGAAGGGTATCATACTTGGCAGAGTGGAGGGTCAGTGAAAAAGAGGAAGAGCCCCAACGAGATGGACTGGCAGAGTGGTGGTAGCAATGGGCTCAAGCGTAAGAATTGTGAGGACGGCACAGGACTGGGCAGTGTTTTCGTCTGTTGTGCGTAAGGTTGCTAGGAGTCAGAACAGACTCAACCACATCTAACAAATGTTACAAGCATCCTAATATAGACCCTAATTTAATTTGGACTTCTGGTGTGGCGTTGCCAGTTATTGCCGTAAACTGCAACATTGGTTTGGGCCGTTAAGGCCGGCAGTTCCAACTCACCAGCTGCTCCTTGGAAACCCTGTACAGGGTTGCTATGAGTCGGATCTCTACTCGATGGCACTTAGAAACAACATATTTAATTTATTTTCAGTTACTTACAAGGGAGCTTCAAAAGCCTCATGGAAATTTTCCATTTTACCAAGAACTTTTTGAAGTCCCCTTAATTTAAGAAAGGAATTGATCTCTATATATTAGCTGTGCTCTAAGTTATCTTACTGGACTCTCTTCTTATTTCTAATAATTTCTAGTTGAATCTCCTGGGTTTTCCAGATATATAAAATTATACCATCTGCAAATAACAGGCTTGCCTTCTCCCTGTCAATATGGACTCTTTTATTTATTTTCTCTTACTTAAGCACATTGGCTAGCATCTCCAGAGCAGGGGCGAACACCTTTGCCAGATAATCTGAATGCCTTTACCATTAGGTACGAAGATGGTTCAAGGTTTAAGAGATCTAAACCCACATAGACAATGGAAATCAAGTATTTCACTAGTTTTCTTTTACTAACATACATAGTTTATAATAAACTAAGCCCAGACCAGGGTGCATGTTGGATTTTTTGAGCTGCTTTTGTTTAGCATCTGTTGACAGAGCCATGGTTTCCCCTCCCACTGACCTAATGGGGAATCATATGCACACGTGTCCTCATGGTGATGCATCTTCTGCGTTACTAACGTGAACCTCACTGAGTCAGCTGCATACTTCTCTGAATGTACAAATGAATCTGAGATTGGCTAATGTTTTATTTATAATTTTTACCATTATTATTCCTAAGTGAGGTTGTTCTGCAGCTTTTTTCTTTGTCACGTTCTGGCATCAGAGTGGAATTGCGAGGCTTTGGCCTTTGTCCATATTTGGAAATGTTTGAAACAGTTTAGGAATTACCAGTTCCTTGAAGGTTAAAAATAAGTCACTCTTGTAATCTGGGGAGTCTGGCACATTGGAGATACAACTGTCTGAGAGTTTTCTCACTTATTTCTTTCACTACTGATCTACTTTATCTTTCTGCATTGATTTTAATATTTTACTTGAAACTAAAAATTGGTCACTTCTTTGACAGGTTTCCATATCAATTATCCTAGAGTTGTGCTGAGTTTTCTCTTGTGATTCTTTGAATGTCCTTCTCCCTCTGTGGTTATGTCCTCCTTCTAAGGGCTAATTTGATACATTGATGTTTTCTAACTACTGACCTAGGCTAGCTAGTACCACAGAGAACACTAGCTCTTACATAATTTTGTATTAATGCAGCTGTTTGGTTTTCAGTTGATTTTTGATGAACTGGCCTGTTTCCTTAAGGTGCTAATGTTTTCCTGTTCATAAAACACATAATATTTTAATAAATATCAGTTAAAATTCCTTATAACTTCATCTTCCATAGACAAACACAGCAATTCGGTACAATTTCTCAAAATACACTGTTCTGAGTTTCCAGTAATATGGAAGACTAGACAGATACACTACACAGACCCTCTACAACAAAGATACGAGACCGAATGAAACAAACATGGATGAAAATCCTGGAAGCCTGAACTTCAGAATAAAGGTTAGGGAAGTGGATTGAGTGCATGTTGGGAGAAGCTTAGCAGGGATGGCAAAGAGGGATAACTGGCTGGTGAATAGCCAGCCAGCCACGGCACAATCATCTTGAACCTTTATGAGCTGCTCTGGCAACAGAAGGTGGCCTGGAGAACAAAGTCACACAAGCAACTGAAAAGGTGTGATGCCCTCTTTTTCCCCATGCTGCCCTGGTGACCCAAAGTGTGGTCAGTTTCCACCTTCAACTAATCCCAATGCAGACCCTGTTCTCAGTGAGTTCGGGAATCCTGCCAGTGTGATGCGGAGCCGGATGCTCTGATTTGGTGTGCCATGTTGGTGTCTGGATCCAGGTAGGCCTGACTCAGGACCTACAGAACTCTCAGAACCACCAAACCAGCATTTAATCAGTCACCCTGTCTCTAGCTGCCTTGTGGTCCTCTCACAGACACCGAAAGCAGCTCCATCAAGAACCAAGTGCCCTGAACATCGATCACGCTGAGGCCAATAGGAACTGCACTCTCACACCCCTCCTACATCTACCTGGTGAGCTTCCTGGCTTGCAGGAGCCCCCCCAGAGTTTTCTCCACTTTAGCTCCAACAGCTGTACTTTTTGGGGGTGGGGGAGTGGGGGAGTGGGGGGTTGCTTATCTCCTTTTGCTGCTTCATTTTTTTTTACTATTTTTTTTCCTCCTTCCTCTTTTCATTCTCTTTAATTTTCTTCCTAAGCTCTGCTTTTGTCTTTCCTTTTCCTGTTTCTCATTTCCCCTCTTCTTTTATCCCCTTTTGATCTTTCTTTACTCTCAACTCTTTCATCTCTCCTCTCACCAGTTTTTAAAATTTACTTTTATTTCCTCTTCTGAAGCTCCATTTTCCTGTCCCCCTCCCCCCCCTCTGTTTTTTAGCTATTCTTAAAGGTTTTTAAAAATTTCTTCCTTTTGTTTTCTCTCTCCCTTATGGTTCTCTTCTATGGCTCTAATTCTCTGTCCCTCTTTTGTCTTCAGAGTTGTTACAGTCCTTCTTTCTGGTTACTGCCTGTTTTTATTTCTTTTCTATCTTTATTATTTTATCTTTTAATTGTTGGTTCCTTGTTTATTTGTTTTGTGTGTGTGTGTAGGATGTTTCTCTTTTCCACCCAACGGGAGACAGCAACCATGCCCATCCACAGCTATATCCTCTGAAGCTCCACCCACCGGGCAAGAGCCAATGCCAGCTCCTATGCCACCTGATCAATGATAGATGATAGTTAACACCAGCCAAACCCACCCTAAACTGAGTTGCATGAACAGTGAATGAGAACAGTGCACACACATCCATTCTCTAACTACTCCCACAGGAGACTGTTGGTGAGAGTGTAAGAGCACATCAGCATACAATCATCAATTAAATACAAATACAACAACCCATAATGCCCTGAAGACAACAATTTTAGTTCACATAAAGAAACATGAGAGAATGGCTCAAACAAATGACCAAGATGCAGAGCCAGAAAATGTTCCTGAGGAAGAAAAGGTAATGGCTAACTGAAAAAGAAGTAAAAAGTGATATTTAGGTACTATCTTAAGAACTGACATAAAGATTGAGGAAAGCAAGAATAACAAGAACAAACAGAACAAATAAATGCAAATTTTGAAACAAATCAAAATACAGATGATTAGTACTCAGATTTAAAGAAAAAGGGAAAAGGAGTAGATCTGAAGTAAAGGAAGCCCAAAATAGTGAGCTTGAAGATAAATCTCTCAATACTAAGATACTACAAGAACAATCAGAAAAAAAAAATAAATGAAGAAAACGCAAAGAAAGTCTAACATTTATATGGGATACCATGAAGAGAAATAACCTAAATTTGATCGGAATTCTAGAACAGGCAGAGAAAATAAAAAGCACAGAGAAAATTGTCCCAGTGTTGTTGGAAGAAAGCTTTCTTTAAGACACAAGAAGCTGAACAAACTTCAAACAAAAGAAAATCACCAAGACTCATCATACTCAAACTTTCCAAATAGAAAGGCATAGAAAGACTCCTGAGAGCAGCTCAGGAAAAATGAAGTTATCTACAAAGGAGAACCAATGAGACTAAGCTCTGGACTTATACTCATGGCTTTAGTGGCTCAAAATACCACTGAGAGGGAAGGAGTCTTCATCCTGTCCTGTCTGTATACTTAAGACACTGGCTACCTAAAATAGGAGCGCTATGAAGGCACGAAGTGAAAAATAAGGCACGAAGTGACTGGCTTACAAGTTTTCAAGAGGGAGTTTAGTTTCAGAGTGTGTGGGGGAAGGTAGAATCCCCATTGAATAGTTTTCATCTTGTCTAGATGGGTCTGGTAAAAGGAGATGGGGATAAGATTGTTACGATTCAATAGTGAATAATTGTTATCATGACTAATTGCAGTTGTCACAACTGTAAAGATAGAAGTTTTATTTAACAAAAACGGTGGAGTAGTTAGTCTTACAGTCCAGGAACAGAGGACCCTAGGACCAACAAGGGTCAACAGCATGAGCAGAATGTGGGATCCTATTCGAGAAGCAGCACCACCAGAGATGGAGGCAGAGAGGAGGGCATGGAGAGACAGAGCAGCTGAAGACTCTAGACTCATGGAAAGAGAAAGACTATGTCAGAAGGCAGCCTATACACATGGAAATGAAAAATGAGACTTTCTATTCAGGGGTTCAGGTCTGACTTGTTTCCTTTTTTCAGAACTTAGTTGGGGTACACTGGTCTGCTTCCTGATGTTGTCCAGGCAGTGAGCTGACCAGTGAGAATGTCTGTAGCACACACTCGATTGTAAGTCTTCAGCTTAAGTTAGGAAGCATGCAAAGTGACAATGTTTGCATTGTCCAAATCTGTTTCAAATTGCCTGTAAGCACATTCAAATGTCAACAGCTGTGAAAGCAAAGTGAAGTTAGAGAAAGTCAAAAACCTTCACTGCCACACCATTTAATTCTTTTTTTCATTTGTGGAGATCAGAACAAATACAGAATACTGTGTTAAGTTTAGGAAGAAAATCAGAGAAGAAAGCAGCTGATGGCCAGGATTGATCCAGTTACCTATCTTTTTGGCCTACCTTGTCTCCGACTCTGTAGTTAGGTGGTACAGTCAGTTTTACCTCCATGATGTTGATGAGAGGCGAGTCTTCCACAGGGGGCTTTGGCACGAGCTCACTGTTGGTCTCTATCTGGCTCTCAATCAGTTTAATAATTGCATCGACTCGCTCTTTTGGCATTGGCTTTCCATGCCAATTTTCAGCACCCTCAACAGCTGCCAAATGAGAAGCAGGCATTCATTCAACAGCTAGGTCACTGGAAGATAGCCTAGGACTCAAAGGAGCAAATCCCCCACTACCCCAAAGCAGGATTGGGACCCTAGTGCTGTCAGAGAACACAGGCTGGTGACTGAGGGAGAGGGAAGGAAGCTGAGGTGGAGAAAGAGTCCGAGGCTGACCGGGCAGGGTCTGGTGGGTCTGAGAAAGGGTTCAGGTGTTATTCAAAGCAAGATGGGAAACCTTGAGGGGTTCTGATGGGGAGTGACTGCTATGTCAGGTAGGGGACAGGAGTCTAGTGAGGCTCCAGGTGGTGGACATATAGAGGAGCAAGAACAATGTGTGGAGGGGGGGGGGAGTAGGAAAGGGAGAGGGTAGAGGCAGGAATGATACCCAGGTTTATGCCCACAGCAAGTTGGGAGAGTTGGCATTTACTGAACTGGGCATACTGGAGTAAGGACTTATTAGAGGGGTCTTCTGGAGACTCAGGTCCTACCCTGGCGACTCAAAGTCAGAGCTGGGAGGCATTCAAGTAGTGGTGTCCGGTACATGCACCTGCCCCCCTAAGGGGTTGGGGATCTACAGCTGGGAAATCAATCCCATCATCTGGGGTGAAGAATGTAGCATCCTTTGCTCACTGAAGTATGTGGGCCAGTGGGTCTCCAGATGACTCCCACCCACATCTGCATGAGCTGCAATTCCAGTGTGTGTTTTCTCAGTTCAGAGTTATTTGGCAAAACTATAATCGATGTATGCATTTCTGAATTGTGTACTTATTTTAGAAGTAATTTTCAAGCACAGTACCGATGGTGTTACAAAATAAATTATTTTCCGAATTGCGACTATTATACATACTTGTGTTACCAATGTAGCATGTGACGCTGAATCATCAGAGACTTTCAAGCATAAAAAGTCAACTGCATCGGGGTAATGTTGGGAGTGTATTCTCTCAGATGGTCTGGGCACAGTAAATGTGCCAGTGTGCATACCACACTTTAGGGCCTGTGCATCCACTTCTCGGAGGCCTGATGTTACACTGAGGGTTAACGCACTGGACTGCAAAATTGATTTGAACTGTAAGATTGGCGGTTCAAGCTCGCTAGCTGCTCCTCGGAAACCCTATACAGGGTAACTATGGCCCAGAAGGGACTCAAAGGCACTTAACAACAACAATCCACAGAGCAGCACAGTTGGGCATTGGCCTCCCCGTTTGCACCCTACGCTTTCTGACTTTGAATGACTACCCTTCTAGCGACTCCTATGTGAAGGTCAGAAAGCACTGTTCTCACCTGCCCTGGGTGTGGGCATCTGCTCCCAGCCAAACAAGATACTATCCAGACAGAGCAAGAGCTCAGCTCCTTCAGACCTATGGTCAACATCGCTTTATTTCTGTCCTAATTCTGTGCAAAGACTTCGGCTGCAAGGAGCTAAATACTTCCAACAAAGTGCCAAGGCTGGCCGTGCTCTTAAATAACGTTATAACTAGACAACCATCATTCACATAGTTTTAGGGTCCAACTAAAGCCTGTGGAGTCTGTAAATTGCTGTCTCTGAAGCCACAAACAGGCACATGTACAGACTGACACACCTGAGGACTCCATTCGGCTCTTCCGTAGGCACTTCACACACTCAACCCATCTGAAAGGAACTTGACTTACTGCAGAAACCTGTGTGCCCACTCCATTTCTAAAATCAACATCTATCTGATCAGGCAATTGTCTCGCTTCAAGTCTTTATAAAAAGCCCCATCCCACAGTTTCCCTATCCCAGAGAAGTGGTCCCTGACTGCAAAGACTGTTCTGTTCTGCCCAGGGAGATGTATGGATGTGTATGTGTGTATATATGTGTACATGTGTGTGTAACATCATGGACTCCCAGGCCCTATTTGCTCCACTGGACTGAGTGTGAAGGGGTAGGGATCAGCCTACTGCACTGGATGCATGCAGTTAGTGAAGCAAGTAAACAATGTGCCTGGTTGGTCTGTGAGGCCTCCTGCCTCTTTGTGCAGACAGATCTTTGTCAAGATCCAAGCCAGAGAGAACCCTTTACTTACTCGGAATCCCTCGGCTCTTGAAGGTCCTGGCCACCACAGCTGTGGGCTTGTTCTTCACTTGAGTTGCTAGCTCAAATGCCTGGCACAGCGCCTCCACGTTATGACCATCCACCATAAAAGTATTCCACCTGTCGACAGGTGGAGGGGCTGGGTTATGAGAGATGAAAGGAGCGAGACAGGAAAAAGAGAGTAACAGGAGAGAAGCTCACCCAAAGGCCTCGCAGCGCTTCTGGTAGATGGTTATGCATTGCTCGAGGGGCAGGGCGCTGCTTGGCCCCAAGCGGTTCACGTCGAAGATGGCCACAAGGTTGTCCAGGTTGTAGTGGGAAGCAAAGGCCAAGGCCTCCCAGACAGAGCCTTCTGAGCACTCGCTGTCTCCCAGCAGGCAGTACACCCGGTAGCTGGAGCAAGCCAAGAGACAATGAGGACCTGGCTCGAGGCTCGCATAGGTCATCAAGTGCCGAAGAGGCACAGACTGAGGACGCTGCTTCCACAGCAACTCTGTGCAGCCCCACGGCTTTCCAGGCTACGGGGCGCTTCTGGATGGCTCTCTACCATCAGTTGCTGCTTCCAAGTTAAGTGTTAGGGCTAATTTTCAGCTTTGTCTGCCACTTCTCTGGCATCACAACCCAGCAGGGCAATGGGAAGAAAACTCACATACACACCAAAACCAACACTCATACCCGCTCTGTCAGGGCAGCTGACTTCGAGCTCTGAGCTTACCAATTCAGGAGGGGACTTCAAAAAGTTACTAGAAAAATGCTCTCTTTTCAGTCCACTTTCCCAAGAGCTTCTTGAAGCTCCTTGTGCTTACATGAGTAAGAACAATCGAAACTTCTACCTGAGCAGCGTGCGTTCTGTAGGCACTGAAACAGCAAAATGGGCCACTGATGCCCAGAAACCACAACCCAGACTCCACTACAACGCTCTAAGTGACTTAGTCACATGGACCAGGAAACTGCTGGGGCAGGGGCTGACAGGGCAGGGAGGGAGACTTGACCTGAGGCTGGAAAGCCCCTTCCCCCATGCAGGATCCCTGCAGCAGAAGCCAAACATCGAAGTGTCCTACCTGCATCTCTCTGACCCATCACTGGAGGAATCCAGCAGAGCCCACTTGGAGCCCTAGGGGTGGGTTGAGGTTGCAAGCACTAAGGAAACAGGGTCCCAACAAGATACCAGCAAGGTGACCGGAAGTCTGTCCATGGAGCAACTGGACGCCTGGGGGCTGTCCCCAACCCCACAGAGCTAGGTGGCTGCCCCTCCCTTCACCCTGGCCCTGGAGAACACAGGCTTAGAGAAATTGAGCCCAAGACACCTTGGACCAGGACATGCTGGGCACAGTGGAGGGCAAGGGAGCATGCAAGGCTGTAACCTATGTCAACATGCCTAGCCCCTTGGCCCCCTCCCTGTACCCACAACTGCAGTCGCCAGGACACACCTCCAGAAAAACAGATCCTTTCACAAATCAACAGCATTTCCTTGTGTGTCTGGGATGGAGGGGTAGTTAAGTGGTTTTGAGGTGAGCACTTACCTGGCCTTGTCAAAGTACTTGCCAGTATAAGCCATCCCACACGCAGCACCTAGGCCCTGCTCCAGCCAGCCCGATAACACCTCTACGTTCGACAGTCTCTGTGAGAGAAAAGACCAAAGGGCTTTGGGCCCAGCTGTGGGCCTACTCCAAGGGCAGGCCCTCCCCACCTGTGGTAGCACTAACCACAGGCACAACCTGTTCTCCCCACTCATGTGTCCCCAAAGCTGGTCAACATCCCAGGCAGACCATGGAGCAGAGGCCGCAGAGCAGTAGCTCTTGCCCATGCAGCCTGGCGCAAGTGGTGGGAGCTTTGGGGACACAGAGGAAGAGGGAGGCTTCTTTCTGCTCAACAAAACAGCCCAAGCAGAGTGCACCAGCAAAGAAGCGATCCAGCTGTGCACACACCCAGTGTGCAACCTTTTCGGAGAACATGGTTTCTTCACTAGAAACCGGATTTGTAGAACCCAGGGCAACTGAGATTTTACAATGGGGTCGATGCTAAAAATGAACCAGCCCCATCTGGTGTGTGAGCCACTGCAGTACTGGAAAGTGCCCCAGTCCCAAGGCAGCACAGAGCATGGAGATGCCAAGTTGTTCAGCACCTTGCCTGTCATTGCAGTGGCCTCCCAGCTGCCTCCACACGCAGTCTGCTACCCATCCAGCAGACAGAGCCTGCCAAAGACTAAGTCATGTCATCACCTCTCTGCTGACAACTGTCCAAGGTCTGTGCTGCTTTCTCCTTCTGGCCTGATCTCGCTCCCACTGCTTCAGGGCTTCCCTCCCTCCCCTCACCCCTGCTGGCCCTTGAACACATCAGGCCATGCCTGCCGCTGGGCCTTTGCACTTGTCCTTTGGCCCTGGAACCACACAAGGCTTGCTCTCTTACCTCTTCAATTCTCTGTGCAAATGTCAGCATGGAAATCTTCCTAGAGCATTCTTTCTCAACTAGTGCCCCTGTTGCTCCACTTTATTCTGCTGTAGAATGCTTAGCCCCATCTGACATGCTACCTGTTCACATGATTGTCCCTGGTCTGCCCGCCGCATTAAAACGACAGCTCAGTTGAAGTCGAGTCTGGATGTGTTCATCACTACCAGGGTTGGAATAAGGCTCACTAGCCTCAGACCCTTTCTCCTTCTGGTTTCCTCCCCTCTACTCCTCCTGGGGTCCTGCTGACTGTCCTGGCTGCTTCCCCTGCTCAGCATCCACAAAGCTCCTCGGGAAGCTGCCTTTCTGCCCATCACCCTCTAGCTTAACAGAGTTTTCCCTGCTTCTGACCACTCCTCCTGCTTCACTGGCGGTAACAAGCTTTGTCCTTCCACCCTGCAGCCCCTCTCCCCGGTTGCCTTGTGTACCCACCCACTGAGTCATGGGATGGGGGGAGCCTGGGTTCAGACCAACTTTACTTCCTGCTAGCAGGGAGGCACAGGCCAGGTGCCTCCATTTCTAGATTTCCTTGTATGGGAAAAGTGGAGGCAAGGCCCCTCCCTGAGTGGCAGGCAGTGTGTGGTGGTGAGGGAGCGGTTAGAGTGGTCCACAGACCACTGGCTGAGGTGGGCCCAACAGGTGCGCCCATCCCATTCCAGAACCTGCTGCTTTCAGGATGATGATCCCAATTAAGGGAGGCTTTGCACTAGAATGGAGATTCGTACAAGGTGCTGTTGTTGTTGTTAAGTGCCATCAGGCCGGTTCTCATAGCAACCGTGTATAGGGTTCCTGAGGAGCAGCTGGCTGAACCACCGACCTTGCAGTCCAGTGCATTAACCCACAGTGCCACACCAGGACCCTACGAGGTGCTATAGGTACAGCTCCTCTCACACGGTCTTGTGGAAGAAACAAGCCATCTTGCCTGGATTCCTACACTGTCTCTTCCCATCCAGCACCGAGTAAGCATGGAGAAACAAAGGCCTGCGCCCCAGGCTGCTTGGCTGGAGAAAACACACAGATTACCAAACCCAAACAAAGCACTGCATCAGGAAGGGGATGACAGACTCCCTCCCCCCACCGCAGGAAGCCTCAGTCCCTGTGCCTTCTCATCTCTGGCAATCCTAGATATACGGTGGGAAGGCCCAATTGCTCCAGTGCACCTTTGTTAGCTCACGAGTTGTTGCTTCCACCCAAACTCAACTGTCTGCCTGCCTCGCTGGTCCTACCAGTTACACAGTCATCAAGGGGTCTTTCTATTTCCAACCAGAGTGTAGATTGCCCAGATTTTTTGAACATTTATTTGGAAGAAAGTCCAAATTCACATAAAAGTTGTGAGAACAGTACCCTTAACCTGGATTCACCAACTGCTACTCCCCCCCAAAACCAGACCCATTGCTGTTGAACTGATTCTGACTCCAAAACTGAGCTGGACTGTCCACAGGGGCTCTGAGGTGGGAAATCTTTTTTTTTTTTTTTAAAGTTTTTATTGTGAATTGAATGATAATTTACATGGGAGAACATAAGCTTTACACTCATACTATCGTAGTTCGTGTCATTGCAATGATTACAATCCCCTCCGTGCATCATCATTCAACAGTATTTACTTCTGTTTGCTGTTTGTTTTTGGATGTACACCAAAACACTCAGGAATTTATAAGCATTCAAACCACGCAAGGGCACACCCTGCAAGCCTGGCCCCCAGCTGCCAGCACACAGCCCCTCTCCCTCCTTGAGGTTAGAGTCCCCAGCCGCTCCATCTCTCCATGTCATTATTTCTGCTTCCATCTCTGGCATCGCTGCTTCTTTGGATAGGGCCCCCCACTCCACTCCTACTCTTCTCCCTTGTTGGTCCCAGGGTCCTCCGCTCCTGGACTGCAAGATCAAGCACTCCCCTCTTTACGTTACAAAATGTCTACCTTTACATGCACAACCATCGTAATCAGTCCTGACAATAATTACTCACTATTGAACCACAAGAGTCTTATCCCCATCTCCTTTCACCAGCCCCATCTCAATGGAGATTCTACCTTCCTCCACACCCTCTGAAACTAAACTCCCTCTTGAAAACTTGTAAGCCAGTCACTCCATCCCTTTATTGTTGTTAAGTGCCATCAAGTCGATTCCGACCCACAGCGACCCTGTACAGGGTTTCCAAGGAGCCGCTGGTGAGCCTGAACCACCAACCTTGCAGTTCAAATGACTTTGTAGTCTTGACGCATTAGCCCACAGCACCACACCCCCAATTTAGGTAGCTAAATGTCTAAGTTGCCCATCCTTATCAACCCTATGTACAGAGAGGGTGGGAATGATCCTTACGGTGAAGATTCTTTCCCTGTTTTTTTAAGCTACTACATCCGAAGTATAGGTCAAGTTCATCAAATTGTAGCAGATTACACTTTTTTTTCCCTTCTTTCTTCCTCTAGTCTTCATCCAGCCATTGATTGGTCAAATAGGTACTATCTGCAGGTATGGGCATTCTTGTGCACCTCTCCTCACTTCATATCAGCTGGATGCTTCACTCTCTGCTCTAGCCCTCTGTGGCTATGTCCCTGTCCATGGGCTCAGGAGTCCCCAGGTCTCACTCCAGGTTGACAGGAGTCTATTGAACGTGGTCAGACTCAGCCCACATCTTTATTGCTGCTTTCCCCCTGACTTTTCCTCATCAGTAGACCAATATGGTTGTCAGCAAACTTACATGCCTGCTCATGTTCCCTTTGGGTTTCAGTCTTTAGAAGGGGGTTTGCCCTGAAGGGACTTGATTGCTTGCCTTGATGGCACCCCATCAAACAACTTGCTTGTTCTTGTGGTATTCAACCAGACTGCTGTTACTGTTTTGGATTTTCCGTACTGGTCTTTCTTTCAAATAAGTATCTTCTGTTCCTCTAGCTGCTCCAGGCTGCTCTGCTTGTCCTTTTGAGTGGGAATGTCTGAGGTAGGCAATGTTTATCGAAGCAGGCAGCCATGTCGTTCTCCTGTGGAGTGGCTGGTAGGTTCGAACCCTGTGACACCAGGGCTTCTACCAGCAATACTACAGAACTACACACACACACTACCCCTAACACACTATCATACACACTCACACAATACAAACACACCCACAATACATACACGTGCAGACAACACACAAAGACAAATTTTTTTTGCCCAAAACTTGAGATAATGTTTCAGACAGCCAGACAAGGATTGCAATCATGACCCCTAGATAGTCCAGTCCTCTCCATATTTGAACTTGTCTGTAAATTAGTTCCTGCTGCCCCCACTTCTCTTTCTGTTTGTACAAGATGCTCTCCTGACTGAACTAAAAATGCTTGCTTCAAGACATCATGTACTTTCAGATGGCATCCAACCAGCTGCCTGTTCTTCTTGGATGCACCTTATTTGAGAACATTCCTGAGCCCCAACATCCTGGTGTGGTGCTGCAGGATAAGCCCTGGGTCACAAGGTCAGTTTGAACGGAAAGGTCAGTGGTTCAAACCCACCAGGCACTCCTTAGACACTCTATACCGGGTTGCTATGAGTCAGTACTGACTCAACAGTTACCAACCTCCAACGTCCTAAGGTCCTGGTATTTTATATACTCTTAATAAACAGGTCCCCTGTCAGGGTCAGGTCAAATCTGCTGGGAAAGCAGACTCACAGGGGTGGGATGCCCCTCCCCAGTCCCAGTCAATTTCCCTCGAGCCCAGTGATTTGGGTTTGCTACCCTTGCCCCTCTCTGCTCAGGTGGCACAAAGGGCCCAAGTCACAAGACTCTGCAAAAGTAGGGGCTTTTATGCTAGGTGGGGCCAGGCAGGGCACCAACAATGGGATGAAAGGGCACACACTTTCAGCAGTCCTCACTAGAACACCTTTTATGTGTTTAAACACAAAGAAAGAAAGATAAAGCGAGCCCGTTTGTGGCTTTGTTGCCACACAATGTCTTTTTACAATGAGTTTAAGAAGTCAGCGTCTGAGCAGGCTCTGGCTTCCCCATCAGCTCACCTTGGACAGGATGAAACGGTCGTTGTCCGGGTTCTCTGGTTCTGACTGTTTGTACCTCATAGTGTAGAAGAACAACACAGACATGATCTCAGCAGCGCTGCCGCTGGTTGTGGGATGGCTGAAAGGCAAACAGGGCACAGGTCACTTCTCGAAAGTACATAGTCATCATCCAGAGACGGGGTGCAATCGGCTTCTTGGCATGGGGTCACCTCAGATGGGAAATAGCAGGGTTGTTTCTCCTGGTTCTGGAAGAATCTAGACAAGGGAAAGGGACCCAGGGCTACTGCATTCCAAGTTTGCAGGCACTTTGGACACTTTGAAACCCACTAACTCTGCTTCCCTCTCCCTGTAGAGAGCTAATAGCTTCCAGACCAGCGCCCCTTCCAATGGGCTTCAAGTGGGAGTGGCTATGACGTTTCCCCGCGCTGAGG